AACAACCATTGAGTGGGGAATTTCATTAAAGTAAATCTTAAAATTGCGTAGTGAAGAGTTGATCTGCTAATTAATTGAACAACGCAATTAAATTAAGCCACTCTGACCAGCGCGTTAAGTTTTGTAGCTCCCTCTAGCACACCTTCACCGCTCTTTGGGGAAGCGTACCTGTTCAGGAGCCTTCCTGAACGTGGTTTTTGCAGTTAGATGAACGCTAAAGAAGTCTCGACTGCGGCATCCCTGAATCGGGACCTTTTCCGTCCTGCTGCCTGGGCAGGGCTGAAGCCTTTTCTGAAGCGAACTGAGGGCTTTTTTCCTTTCTGTAGCGCTGGGAAGCAAAGTCTTTTCTCTTTATGTATGGTCAGTAAAAGTGAACTTTGATATCAGACTGTATGTTTTAAAGCTGTCCTTCCAGAAAACTTATCGCATCCGTCTGCTGTTTCAGTTAGAGACCCTAAAAAGATATGGAAATTCACCCCAGTTTCTGGGCAGTTAATGACATTGCCATTTTACAAAAGTAGCCTTTAACCATTGTGTTTCGGAGGGTGTTAACTGGCCGGCAAAGCTTATGGCTGAAGGCATCAGCTGAATCTTAACTTTGGTTAAGGTTAGGGCACGGCCTGCTAGTAAGTTTTTTTTTTTTTTTTTTTCTTGGCTGGTCGTTTAAATCTGTAGTCTGCAGTGCAGAAGTGTGATCATGAGCCCTGAGGCTGCAGAACAGGTGGAGATGCGGCTGTCTTGTCCCCACTCATAGTATAGCTCCGGGCAAATTTTAACATACGTAAACTAGATCCAGGAGGAATGTTGCAAATCCAGAAATATCTATTAAAAATACAGGTAGGATTTTCCCCCACAGAGTTCCCAGGCGGCTCGAGTCGTGCATGAGCCCACCCAGGCTCCTAGAGTTACTCTAAAAGGCACCGGTTTGATACCAGAAACTTCCTGTGTATTTCTTAGGAACTGGGGTTAAGCAAGTGGGTCCCTGGCTCCCCCCTGTAGATCTTGCAGCCACTTGTGATGAGCCGGCGCACCTCCGTAAAGAGTAAGTCCGGACTCCCTACCTCTGTTTGCTGCCACAGTGCGAATTCCCCATTTCCCTCTGTGCTTCCTACTGATCGGGTAATTGGTGTTGTAGAAGTGTGGCGTATTTCGAGCATGGAAAAGTATACAGCCATAAAATAGTATAGAAGTAGCCAGTGTCTGGCAGTTTGGCAGCTTTTTCCCAGCTAGGTTGAACCTGGTACACAGACAGTTGACGAAACCTGCTTTATTATTTCTTCAGTGTTCCTGCCTGAACAGACTTAACCTGTTGGGCTCTTCTTACAAGCGTGATACGCGCTTGTGAGTCTTTCTGTGCCCCAGGAGTCCGTTTGTCTGGCTCAGCTTACCTGTTTCTTCCTTTTTTTCTGACTGTTAAAAAGCAAAAAAACAAAACAAAACTCAGAATCGCCTGCGGACTTCACGCCCTCCAAGCCATTCAGTAGCCCACCGAGATGGAACTTTTTCAGCCTTTTCCCTTTTCATCCCTTTTAACGGTGTTTAGTTTATAAACTTTGTTCTCCTCTGTGCGCCAGGCTGGTTGCCAAAGAGGAAGGCGACCCCATAAAAATTGGGCGTACTCTCCTTTTTGCAGCAAGTGGGCCTGTACGACTCCATCCCCAGTAGGCGCAAGTGGTCCCTCCGGGCTGTTAGGGCGAGTAAACCCGATAGCACCCGCTGTGAAAGCTCTCGCTTAGAGCCGCGTCTACCGTGAGCGTAGTAGGTACGGCGCTGACGGCGCCTTGAGTACCCGGCTCCCCCCGGCTCTTCTTCCGAAGCCTCCTGCAGAGCTTACCTGTTTGCCCCTCTCTTGGCTCTTCATCCAGCGATGTTGTGAAGACCTTGGCAGGCGCTTTCTTGCGCTCTCCCAGCGCCCTCTCCGGGACTGCTCCCAGCCTGAAGCGGCGGTACGTGCCGTGGGTGGCATTTAAAGCTCTGTACGCGGGGTGAAAAAGGAGCTTCCGTGCCCGCCGCGCTCCCCCCGGAAGAGTCTGCTCCACGGCTGCAGCGACCGGGAGCTTTCTGCAATGTCCAAAGCAAACACGGTAGGCGCGGAGCGAAACCTTAGGTAAACGGAGCAGCTGAAATGCGAAAGGTAATCAGTCGCCAAGCTGCCCTGTTAGGCCGATAGGCTATCGGGGAGGGGGACGGGACTGGCTTGGGCACTTAAACGAACGCATTTGCTGCGACGCTCAAGTTATGAAAGCCCTTTGAAGGCTCGCCACGCGGGGACGGGCAACTGCTCTCCTTTGAGGCGTATTCCTCTGGAAAAGGTGTGGTGTTTATAGCAAGAGGGCGAGTCAGCTTTTGTTGCGCCGGCCCAAGTCGGGAAGGGAGGGGGAGATAAGGAGGTTGTTAGCTGGGAAGGTGGTGGTAGATCTCGGAAGCGCCTGCTCGCTTCTGTATGGCGCCGAGCTGTGCCGCGTGCTGAACGCGTTGCGCGTGCGCGCCGTGCTGGGGCTGTGCCATTGCTGCAGGTCGCTAGGGGTGAAAAGCACGAGTGACTCGGAAGCCAAAAGGGTTCCAAGGTTTCGGGCGAAGCAAGGGCGCCGTCTAGGATTGCTCGCGCTGCGAAGCGCGCTGGAGGAAGCGCTCCCTTCCCTCTGCGCACTGCCGTTTGCGTTTGCACCCGGCAGCTGCACCGTGAGCTGTTTAACTGCCTTGGGGTTGGTTCATGCCAACGGGTTTTGTTTTGTTTTGTTCTGTGTTGTTTTGTTTTTTGAGGCCAGCTATGTTCCGATAGTTTGAGTGTAAGCTTTTTAGGGAAAGGAAATAATTAGCCGTCATGACCAGCCTTTGCACGATGGAGACCTGCGGGGGAGCAGAAGGTGGATACCAAACTCCTGTTGTTTGATAACCGGGCTGAGAAGAAAGCACTTGTCGGCTTATCTTAATGCGGTGCTTTTGCCCCCCAAAGCGTTTTGCGGTGCGCCTTCATTACACCAGACAACCCCGTGCAGTTCAAGGCCGGAAATCCCGCCGAATCATTCAGCCGCTGTAGTTACAGGAGTGAAGCTTTGGGGGTTAGGCCACGCTTGGGTTGTAAGGGTTGGGCTAACGCTCAACAGTAATAGCGTCAAAGGGAGTTTTAGCGTTTTGGACATGAGCTGAGGCGAACTGGGTGTGGGGGAGTCAGCGAAAGAGCTGGGTGTTATGCTGGGGCCAAACCTTTGGGGTGGTTACTTCATTCTGTTTCTCACTGGATGCTCGCCTGAATGAGGTCTCACCAATGCCGGAAAGAAGGAGTTTACGCAACCGTAACGGAGGCAAAAAGTGGAGAAATTAGTTGTCCGCTGGGACCGCAGAGCTGCAAGGGGGGGTGTTAAAGATGAGAGGAGCGCCCCGGTCCCCGGGGTCCCTGTGGTGCCCCGGGGGGGGGAGGACAGCATGGGCAGAGGGGGCACAGGGGTGTTTTGGAGCTGGGCTCCTGGCGGGGTGATGTGTGTCGCCCCAGCAGGTTGACCCTCGTCCCTGCCTATTCGCTCCCCATGAACAGCTGCGGGAAGCACAGTACGCATCCGGGGAGGCTTTTCTCGTGGAGGCGGGGACCTAGGGGAGATGTTCCTGGGTCTAGGTGGTAAGACCAGCCCTCACCAACCTCCCGCTTTGCCCGTCGGAACGAAAAAGCTCCCAAGAGCTGGATTTTTAATTTCACTTGGATGCATGGCAGAGTTCATAAAGACCCTTTAAGGGCAAGGTCGGCTCCCGGTTCGGAGGGATGTTGCTTTGCTTTGGGGTTTCGATGTCCTCCACTGCTTGTAGTCCTGTAAAAATAGTAATGAGGTGCTGATCTTGTGCCTATTGAACCCTGCGCAAAAAGCCCCCATTGATTTCCACAGGAGCAAGCTGAGGCCCTTGGCGGATCCTGATGGGAGCAACTGTGTAGCACAAGCTGGGATTGTTTGGGAAGGTCTCTAACGACCCAAACATTTTAACAAGCAGAGTTTGTAACGGGGCCGTTGGTCATAGGGACCCTGCGGTTTGGGGGGAGAAGTGCCTGGCCGTGGTTCACTGGGGTGATCCCTGGCGTTCTCCGTGACCTCCCGTCTGTCTTGAAACGTGCCGTAACGCGTATCTCTACTTTTAATCTTGCGTTCGGCCGGCAGCTGCGTTTACTCTGAGCGTCACGTGTTTTTATAACACGCTATATATATATATGTTTATATATATGTATTTGCTTTGCTGCAAGCAGCAGCAGTCTGGCAAAAGCGAGCGCCGGGGGACGGCGACGGACACCTTGGCCCCCCGTGCGTCCGGGGAGCAACGCCGTCGGCGATCGTGCGAAGCCCGCTTTCCCACGTCGGTGCCTTTCCATGATATCAGTGTCGGCCGGCATTAGCCCCCTCCGCTGTGATCCGCCACGCGCACAATGCGACAGGGAAAGTGTTAATAATCCCCGGCGGGGGTCCGCGAGCGAGCGAGCGAGGGGGGGCG